AGTGCCACATCTACACGTTTTTTGAACCCCTCCAGGGCTGGGGACTCCACCACTGCCCTGGGCAGCCTGGTCCGATGTTTCACTACTTTTTTCAGTACAGAAATTTTTCCTAATATCCAACCTGAGCCTCCCCTGATGCAACCTGAGGCCCTTCCCTCTCATCCTATGGCTAAAAGGAGTTGGTTTCCGCAGGTGGGACCTGACCCTTTGGACAGCCTTTCTCTGGCTTTCGGTTGACTTTTGGAAAGGAATGTCATGTAACCAAAACGCAGGCTGGAATGTTTTGTAAATGTTGAAAGTGCCTGTTTCGACAGTTCTCAAAAAAACCAACCAACCAACCGGTCTCTGCTTGGGTTAAAGGTGTTTGTTGCAGTCCAGCGGAGCCCACGAGTCCTGGTGGCTTCCTTAAGCCGTACTTTTGGCAAATTATCATTTGGTACTAAAATTGCCCGGTCTTCTCGTTGCTTAATCCCACACGTGCGTTGTGATTGAGGCTTTATTGCGACTGGCGAAGACTCTGGAGCAGTACTGGGGAAGTTACGCGGTATATTTTATATATTTTGCTGAAAAATAGTCATTTTTTAGTGCAATATTTCACACAGAGCATTTGCTTGAGAGCCAGAAAGACAGGAGTGCCCCGAGCCTTGTCCCCCCAAGCCCAGCAGCAGCTGCACGCGTGGGACCGTGCCCCCGCTCCCCGCCTGCGGAGCGCGGGAGCCCTCGAGGGTTTCGCTCGGCGTCGAGCAGCGGCGTTCAGAAACCAGGGGCGGATTCGCGTCTCCGGGGACCCCGCTCTCCTCGAGAGCGCGACGCCTGCTTTCTCTTCCCCTCTTTTGTTGAATACATATAATTACTCATTTCTCATTTTTCAAAGCTCTGCGCCGCGGCTTTTGCAGGGGTTGGAGCTGAGCTTTCCACGCAAGACCTCGCAACGCCGACGGGTGACAACAGCTCCAGTGAAGGATGGAGCTCGCGTGAACGACTTCCACGGTTAACGGGGCCGGGGCTGCTTCAGGCGAGAGGAACTGCCAGCTCTCATGACACCAGCTCAGCCAGTCAGCTAATTAGCTAAATACAAACAAACCCATCATTTGTATTTCTTGCAGTTCAGGGGAGCAAATCCTGCTGGCAAAACAAGGAAAACACGAGAGCGTGCCAGCCTGCCGGCGTTAGGCTGCGCGTTAATCACCCGCGCAGGGGAGCGTGGGGTGATGGCAGCCTGCCTTCTGCCGGGCTGCAGACGTCTCAAGACGTGGGGTGGGCTGATGAGGGGGGGCGGTGTCCTCGCAGACCCCTGCCCGACCTTCGTGCAGGCCTAACAGGGGACGTACTCCGGGGTTTCATGCAGAGCTGACTTACCTGAGAACATCAATGACCTGGATGAAGAGTTAGAGTGCACCCTCAGCAAGTTTGCTGATGACACCAAACTGGGAGCAGTGGTGGACACACCGGCAGGCTGTGCTGCCATTCAGCGTGACT